GTAAGGCTCATACAGTACACACAGGAGACATCCCTAAAGTGCCAGGTTCTGGTGAACAGGGAATATTGCACTACAGGACCTCTTCTTCATAAGGCTACTACTTTCAAGAGCAGGAGAGATTCCTAATAAACAGAAACAGCCACAGAGAGTTAGACAGAATGAGGAGACAGAGGGATATGTCCCAAATGAAAGAACAGGACAAAAACCACAGCAAGAGAGCTAAACGAAATGGAGATATGGTATATGCCTGATAGAGAACTTAAGGTAATGGTCATAAAGATACTCACTGGACTTGATAAAAGAGTGGAGGATCTCAGTGAAACCCTTAACAAAGAGAAAATGTAAAAAAAGAACTGACCAGAGACAAACACAATAACTGAGATATAAAAAACCCTAGAGGGAATAAATAGTAAAGACTAGAGGAAGCAGAAGAAGGGATCAGCAAGCTGGAGGACTGTAATGGAAAGCAAGCTGAACAGGAGAAAAACAAAGAACAAAAAATGAGAATAGGTTAAGGGAACTCAGTGACACAACCCAGTTAATAACATTTGCATTATAGGAATCTCAGGAGAAGAAGGAAAAAGGGAGTCAGAAAATACATCTGAAGAAATAGCAGCTGAAAATTTACCTAATCTGGGGAAGGAAACAGATATCCAGATCCAGGAGGCACAGAGATTCCAGCCCCCCCCCCCGCCCCCAAATCAACCCAATGAGATCCCCACACCAAGACACATGCTAATTAAAATGGCAAAAAGTAGTGATAAAGAGAATATTAAAAGCAGCAAGAGAAAAGAAAAGCAGTTATGAAGGAAAACCCCATAAGGCTGATTTCTTTTTCAGCAGAAAGTTTGCAGGCCAGAAGGGAGTAGCATGACATATTTAACATGCTAAAAGAAAAAACTACAGCCAAGAATACTCTACCCAGCAAGGTTATCATCAGAATAGAGGTAGAGATAAAGAGTTTCCTAAACAAAAGGTAAAGGAATTCACCACTAAACCAGCCTTACAAGAAACATTGAAGAGGATTCTTTGAGCCAAAACCAGATAAAGACACTGCCAAAAAAGAGAACTACAGGCCAATATCTCTGAAGAACATAGATGCAAAAATTCTCAACAAAATACTAGCAAACCAAATCCAGTAATACATTTTTACCAAATCCATTTTACATTTTTACATTTCACCACAATCAAGTAGGATTTATTCCTGGGATGCAGGAGTGGTTCAGTATTTGCAAATCAATCAACATGATACATCAATTTAAGAGAAAGGATGAGAACCATATGATCATTTCCATAGATGGAGAAAAACCATTTGACTAAGTACAATATCCATTCATGATAAACCCTCAACAAAGTAGGTTTGGAAGGAACATATCTCAATACAGTAAAGGCTATATATGACAAACCCACAGCTAACACCATACTCAGTGCTTTCCCCCTAGGATGAGGAATAAGAGGTCCACCGTTACTACTTTTATTCAACATAGTACTGGAAGTGGTAGCCACAGAAATCAGACAAGAAAAAGAAATAAATGGCATCCACATTAGTAAAGAAGTAACTATCTGCAGATGACATGATACTATATATTGAAAACCCTTAAGACTCCACCAAAAAAAAAAAAAAAAACACTGGAACTAATAACAAATTCAGCAAAGCTTTAGGATACAAAATCAATATACAGAAACCTGTTGCACTTCTATACACCAACAATGAAGTTGCAGAAAGAGAAATTGAGAAAACAATCCCATTTACAATTGCACCAGAAAGAATAAAATGCCTACATATAAACCTAACCAAGAAGTGAAAGACCTGTACCATGAAAATTATAAAACATTGATGAAAGAAGTTGAAGATGACAAACAATTGGAAAGATGTTCCATGCTCATGGATTAGGAAAACAAATATTGTTAAAGTATCCATGCTACCGAAAGCAATCGACAGATTTGCTATAACCCCTCTCAAATACCAACAGAATTTTTTACAGAACTAGAACAAATAATCCTAAAATGTGTATGAAACCACAAACGACCCCGAGTAGCCAAAGCAATCTTGAAAAAGGACAAAACTGGAGGCAAATAAACCCACGAGTATATGCTCAGTTAATCTATGACAAAGGAGGCAAGATTATGCAATGGCAAGGACAGTCCCTTCACAAAAGGTGTTGCGAAAACTGGACAGCTACATGCAAAAGAATGAAACTGCACCACTTTCTCACATCATATACAAAAATAAACTCAAAATGATTAAAGACCTAAGTGTGAGACCTGAAACCGTAAAAATCCTAGAAGAGAGCACAGGCAGTGATTTCTGTAACATCAGCTATAGCAACTTTTTTCTAGATATGTCTCCTAAGGCAATAGAAACAAAAGCAAAATTATACTTTTGGGACTACAGCAAAACAAAAATAAAAACAAAATACAAAAAAAAAACCCTCTTTATACAGCAAAGGAAACAAAACTAAAAGATAACCTACTGAATGGGAGAAGATATTTGCAAATGATATATCCGAAAAAGGGTTAATATCCAAAATATAGGAAGAATTTCTATAAAACAGCACCAAAAAAACAAGTAACCCATTTACAAATGAGCAGGAGATATGAACAGACATTTCTCCAAAGAAGACAAACAGATGGCCAACAGACACTTGAAAAGGCTCTCCACATCATTCACCATCTGGGAAATGCGAATCAAAACTACAGCGACATATCACCTCACACCTGTCAGTTGCTAAAATCACAAGAAACAACAAGTGTTGGTGAGGATGTGGAGAAAAAGGAATCCTTGTGCACTGTTTGGTGGGAATGCCAACTGGTGCAGCCACTGTGGAAAACAGTATGGAAATTGCTAAAAAAAAAAAAAAAATCAAAAACAATTACCATATGATCCAGTAATTGCACTACTGAGTATTTATCCAAAGAATATGAAAACACTAATTCAAAAAGATACATGCACCTCTATGTTTATTGTAGCATGATTTACAATAGCCAAGATATGGAAGCAACTTAGGTGTCTAAAGATAGATGAATGGATACAGAAGATGTGGTAGAGAGAGTGGAATTTTTAAAGGATAAAATCTTGCCATGTGTAGCAACATGGCTAGATCTAGAAGGTATTGTGCTACATGAACAAACTGAGAAAGACCAATACTATGTGATTTCACTCATATGTGGAATTTAAGAAAACAAAGACAACAAGAGGCAAACACACTCTTAAATACAGAGAACTGGGGGAGTACAGAAGGGAGGAGGCATGGGGAGTGAAATAGAGTGAAGGGGACCAAGAGTACACTTATGATGAGCACTGAGTGATGTACAGAATTATTGAATCAAAATATTACACATCTGAAACTAATATAACACTACACTAATTATATTGGAATTTTAAAAAGTTTTTTTAATTCAAAAAGGGAAGAGAGTGAATCATTGATTGCTCTGCAGCTCCTTTTAGTTCTGAACAGGGGAAGAGTAGGAACAAGACTGGAAAAGCGGGTTGGTGAAGGACATCAAAGATGAGCGCATAGATGGGGGCCGTGTTCTCAGGGCAGGAAGGCAACCGGACACAACGTCCTCTGCAGCCCCAGACAGCCTGTTCCATAGCTCTGACACCCCAGTTTCTCTATAGCTTTAACCATAATTTAATATCAATCTATTTGATATTTAAAAGAAGCGCCGAATTGCACATACAGGCGGGTAGATGGAGGCATGTCATTGCTGGCACACCAAGGCAGTGAGGTCTTGTGTTTCCTGTTCTAGGTGGACTGTGAAGACTGATTCACACTGGGAGTGAACGGTCTTTGAGGAGAAACTTTTGTTCCTAAAATTTAGAGAAGCACACACATCTTCCCTTTGGGCTCTTTTGAGGCCGCCAGCTATCTGGCCTGATGCCTCCTTGACTGTGAGTCCTTTAGGAAAATGTTCTGTTTCCCAAGGGTGTGGAGCAAAGGGCCTCGTACACTGTGAGGTCTGGACAGATGTCTGAATGCATACGTCAATGGATGGCTGCAGCAAGAAGGACAGAGCTAAGGCAGTAAATGCAAAGACCCATACATTGGGTACCAACGGTGTGATCCAGGCTCCCCCTGCTTTATGCACAACAGCAAATGTACTGACGTAACAAAGGCCCAGGACTTGAGGGGGCTGCTTTCAGCAATGTATGGACCTAGGTGTTCAGGTGATGTCCCTCTGTCTTCTCATCTTTCTCTGTACCCTGCATTCCCAGTCTAGCCCTTCCTCCATGATGGCCCTCTTCCCTGTTCCCAAGCTCCAGACTTCTCACAACTCAGCTGCTTGAGAGGACAAGGAGGAAAGTGGATTCCCAGAGGAACATCAAGGCACTGGTACCAGAAGCAGCACAGAGCAAAAGATGTTCATAGTGATGGGCTAGTGGAGAAGTGGGATCCCCCCACTCCATTGTAGATCGATCAAAGGCCAGACTCTCCATGCTTCAATCAAGAAGATGGGAGCACTGGACCTCAGGGTAGAGTGGAAAGTGGGCGACCTTAATTGCCAGGACAACCTGAGTTTGAATACGGCGTCTGTTGCTCCCTCACTGTGTGATCTCAAGCTAGTAACTTAACCTCTCTGTGCCTCGGTTCCCTCTTCTTTCCAGCTAGATAAGGGGCAGTTACCCCACTGTACTTTTTATGACCGCATCCCCAGTGCCTGGCAGCATGCTACCTGGCAATGGTGGCAGGTGCTTGGTAGTGTGAAAGCAGCCTCATTTCAGGGTGACTGTACAGAGAACAGAAAAACGTAGCACTCTAGTAAAATGCCAGGCACATAGACGGTGATGGGTAAGTTACAGATTTGATCCTCATTCTTGCTCCACAAAGGAAACATGGTGGGACAACACAAAAAGAGTCGAGGTAGCTAGTGGAGAATTAGGTTGCCAGCCAGCTGTGCCGGGGGCCGGACACCGGCCGCCACGGCTGCGGATGTGGCCTAGGGCACGTACCACACGCCCATACTGAATTCATATTCCTCTTGTGTCCCCTCTACAGCTGGAGCTCTCCAACACCAATATCCTGCACCAGATGAGGCGTGACCAGGTCACAGACACCTGTCGCGCCAACAGCGCCCTGAGCCGCAAGCGGCGCGTGCTGACCCCCAACGACCTGAAGCACCTGGTGGTGGACGAGGACCATGAGCTCATCTACTGCTACGTGCCCAAGGTGGCGTGTACCAACTGGAAGCGGCTCATGATGGTGCTCACGGGCCGGGGCAAGTACAGTGACCCCATGGAGATCCCGGCCAACGAGGCGCACGTGTCAGCCAACCTCAAGACCCTGAACCAGTACAGCATCCCGGAAATCAACCACCGCTTGAAAAGCTACATGAAGTTCCTGTTCGTGCGGGAGCCCTTTGAGCGCCTGGTGTCAGCCTACCGCAACAAGTTCACACAGAAATACAACACGTCCTTCCACAAGCGCTACGGCACCAAGATCATCCGGCGCCAGCGCAAGAATGCCACCCAGGAGGCGCTGCGCAGGGGTGACGATGTCAGGTTCGAGGAGTTTGTGGCCTATCTCATCGACCCCCACACACAGCGCGAGGAGCCTTTCAACGAGCACTGGCAGACAGTGCACTCGCTCTGCCACCCGTGCCACATCCACTACGACCTCGTGGGCAAGTATGAGACGCTGGAGGAGGACTCGAACTACGTCCTGCGGCTGGCGGGCGTGGGCAGCTACCTGAAGTTCCCCACCTATGCCAAGTCTACGAGAACTACTGACGAAATGACCACAGAGTTCTTCCAGAACATCAGCTCAGAGCACCAAACGCAGCTGTATGAAGTCTACAAACTCGATTTTTTAATGTTCAATTACTCAGTGCCAAGCTACCTGAAATTGGAATAAAGGGGGTGGGAGAGGGAGAGGATCGTGCTTTTTAATTTAAGATTTTTATTTGTCAAAAGAATTATATGGATATTGGGTTATTTTGTAAAGTAATATTTCTTTGGGGATGATGCTGCGAGCAGCATGGTGAGAATTATTTAAAATCCTTAGTAGGGAAGGACGGCTGTCTTTGCAAGAGAATAAGATGGGTGTCCTTGTGTTTAGACGTAAATACCTACCTGCAACACTGTCTTAAAGGTTTCCTTGTGCTCTGGTGAATCCCATGAATTGTGCATCCCATAAATTCTAATTAATATTATTTATAGTTATTTAAACATGGTCTCTGTATAGATTTCTTTTTGTGGCAGCAAGATTCAAATGTCTTTGCAGAAGAAATGTGTGTTTTGTTCTACGCTTGCTACAGCTCATTTGGGGGCGTGAATGTTCTCCTTAACCGCTCAGAGAGTTAACTGTGATAACAGCCATTGTGATGTCTGTTGATGCCACCATTCTTGGAAGTCTGTGAGAAATAAATAGAGAAAGGCACCTTTGCAGGGGACCATTCCAAACAGATTCCAAGCAACCCAAGAGTCCCTCGCACTAAGAAAAAATGTGATTTTTTTTTTTAACCCAAGGAGAAGAGCTGATTATAGCTTTTTTTTTCTTCTTTTTTTTTTCATCAGAATTAGCAGTCTGATAGAATCGGCTTTTCTACGAAATTTTTAACTGGCACTGCCAGTTGTGATGGTGAAGTGGCTGTTGCTTTATAGTCGACAAGTATTTGTTGAACAACTACTCTGTGCCAGACCTAAATGTAGGCCCTGGGGATAGAGCATTTAACAAAACCAGTAGTCTCGGCCCTCAAGAAGCTTTATGTGGACGCAATATCCACCTCAACAATTAGCAAACCCCTCATATTCGTAGGGGTCCATGACCCCTACAAATTTGCATTTTCCTCTGGCCCAAATTTTGAAAACCCCACACTGAGAACAGGCCACTTAACTTGGTGAGTAATCCAGGCTCACCGTCCAACACGGGAGAAGACAGAGTGTTTCCCATCATGTGCGCTCCAGTGTACTGGGGAAGCCCCGGGACCAGACCCGCCGGGCACAGCATGCAAGGGTGGGAAGGGGACCTTCACCAAGCGCCTCCTGTCACATCAGCCTCCGCGTGGGAGTGTTCTCTCCTCTGCTGCGGAAAGCGTGAGAGGCTGCAGCAGGCCTCGCACACCCGCGGTTGGCGGTCGCCCCGCACTCCTCCTCTGGCCAAGGTCACAGCAGGATCCACTCACTGCACATGCACACGTGCTCCAGAGCCTGCAGAGGCCGAGGCCGTGGGCACCGTGGCGAGCACCATGCACAAGCAGCAAGGACAGCCTTCCGTGGCTGGACCCCACGCCCCCCTTTCCTCCGGAAGGCCAGGAACACTCCTGTTCCTCGCTCATTACCATCTGCACATGCTTCTCACTTCTGGCCATGGTGATGTCTCAGTTGAAGTTTGAGCCACATCCCTCTTACAGCTAGTGAATGAATTGGTAGCAAATCCTGTATATAATAATAATTACAGTTCTAATAATAGGGGGTGGGGTGGGAGGGGGTGTGGGTAAGTTTTGCTTTTTGTTTTGTTTTTGATGCAGTATATAGCGAAAGGGTGAGAATATTCTAAACAAACAAATGAATAATTTATTCACAGAAACTATTAAAGTTGTAAAACTCACCACCAGCTCAGCAGCAGCGGCCGCATCTCACCTAGAATATGGTTTTATTGAATTTGAGTGAGGTGTGTGCGGGAGAAGGGGGCCAGAGCTTTTGATAAAATGTTGTGTACCTTCTTCCAAGCTCACTCCCCTTTGTGAAGGACACAGTGACTGTGCCCTCCACGGACAGAGATGATGCCGTGTCTTTTACTGAATAGAATGACAGACCTCAGCTGTCCCTGGAATTGGGGGTCTGGGCCCTGTTTGCAGGCAGGGGACACTGTCCTCAGAAATAGGGCTTCTGCTAATGAAACACTGTGCAGCGTTTCCTGACATGTGCCCCACAGAACAGAGATTCTCAGGAGATGTGAAGTCAGTGTGATGCAAAAGAAAGAAAGAAAGAAAGAAAAGAAAGAAAGAAAGAAAGAAAGAAAGAAAGAAAGAAAGAAAGAAAGAAAGAAAGAAAGAAAAGAAAAGAAAGAAAAGTCATTTAGAGGTCAAATATCCTTGGGAAACAAACCAATTTCCCTCTACAGGACTTTTCAGAGCCTTAGGTGTGCGCTGTGCATTATGAACCCCCAAAAGCATCATTGAGTTGGTAGCATTTCCTGAACTTATGTGACCAGGATACTCTTGTTTTGCAGATTTCACAGAGACGTTCCACAGAATACAGTTGAGTTAGGTGGATTTAGCGTATCCGAGATCGTCGAGGATAAAATAACTTCCCTGACCCTTCTACAAAACAAAACAATAAAACAGCATCCATCTGGTTTGTAGCAACAGAGGTACTTTATCAAATGAATTAAACTTTTACTTAAGTGCAATGGTTTTAGTCCTGGATACCACCCTAGGCAATCCGGCATCCCTCCCGAAGGGAGCTGGAGGTTGTCTGGGGTGGGGGTGGGGGTGGCATAAGACCCCAGAGTCGCCCCCTAACTCCTCAAGGTTGCCTAGGTTGCCTTGAGGAGCACTCCTTCAATTCCAGAGTTTGGAATAGTTCACCGTGTGCTTTGGTTTTCCGATGGAAAGTCCGTGGGTTTAGCCGAGTTCTGCGTTCCCGCCACCGTCTTAGGTGGGTGGGGTTGGGTGTGCTCGCTTGTGTCACGGGCAAGGTGCCCGCCTTCACCCGCCCCTCCCAGCGGAGAAAGACTGTCCTCACAGGACAATACGTCCGTGTAGCTCTGCAACGAGGGACTTTCTCCTTGTGTTTTATGTTCACATTTTATTTTGTAATAGCATAAAAACTTAAAAAAAAATTGAATCAACTGTTTGGCAGAATGTAGAAAAAAATTCTGTGTCCTTGGTGTAAAAGAATCCATGGGTTAAAATGTGCCTGGGAAGCAAAAGCTTGTGTTTCTGTTTTTTGGTTTTTCTTTTTTAAAGAAAACTGTTTGAAAACGCTTTTCATTGCATGCTTAGCTGGAGAAAAGTACAGGCAGATGTCCCATCTCCAAGCCACTTTTCAAAGGTGCTGCTGTGTTTATAAAACCAGGTACATTTAGGGTAGTATTTACAAGGACATCCCTGCTTAGCCTATCCCTTTGGTTAGAAAACTCTAGAATATTAGCCACAGGGTCTGAATTCCTGCAGCTTCTCTGGACCACCCTCCTGCCCCGCCTCCCCAGCCGGTCTGGGAAGATGGCAGTCTATTGACCTGTGGCGTCTCCGTGGGGACCTTCCTCCCTGGCCACCCAGTGAGCTTCACCCCCCTGGTAGCAAAGGTGTGGCAGCACTAGAGCTACTTCCTGCCGGACGAAGCTCCCGGAGAAAAGCCACTGGCGCAGTTAGCTGGTGGGGTTGGGACCCCACAGGAGAACAGGTGCAAGGCCCTGCGCTCACCTAGCAAGAGGCCAAGGGTCAGGGTCCTCCTGGCTGGTGTCAGGCGCTTCTCGAAGACACCCCCCGTTCCCCCGCCCCAACGATCCAGGCTGCACTGGCCTATGCCATCCTGGGGACCAGACCTTCCCTGGCCCCCTCCTGGGTCAGCGGGACTGACCAAATGGCACCCCCACCCCCATTTCTAACACCAGCGCTCCTTCCAGCCTTTTTTCATCGACTGACTGGGCCCCACGAATAGGCTGCAGGCCCACAAGCACCAACTTGCCCCTCGGTGGTTGACAGGCCAATTTTGGTTTGCTGCTCTTGGTCAGTACAGAAGGGGCTGCCCGTGCTACTTTCCAGTGAGCATGCTCATTGTGGTGTTTGCACATACAACTTAACATCTTCGTGGAGTGTGAGTTTTATTTTTTACATATTTGTATGCGGTAGAGGGCTTGTTTTAGAAAACTCTCCCTGTATCTTACTGTACTGTTCAAGAAAGCTGAATTCCACATTGCCAACAGAAGCGTGAAATGTTCATGAACCTTCCTCCAGGAAAAGCCATTCAAGCCTGATTATTTTTCTAAGTAACTTCAATTAAATTGAAGAAAAAAAGAAGCTTCTTTCTGTGTATGGTTTGTTCATGGCTTATTGACAGAGGACTGTAGGGGTTGGCTGGCTGTGTGGGGGGCCCTGCTCGTGTGTGCCACGGGATGGAGAGGGAAGCGGAGGTGCGGACCCCAGTGGCAGTCTGGGCCGTGGCAGAGGCCACCCCCGATCTGAACGCTTCCTGTTTAGTGGATGAATGGGAGCTTTCTTCATTCCTGTTTTGTCTCCAAACTGTAGGGTGGTGCGTGGGGAGGTCCAGCATGAGCACAGTCCCACCACCCATGTGAAAAAGAAGGCAACAGTCTCTGAAAGGTTAAATGGCTTTGGTTACAGAGCGTGGGCTGACTTGGCTTCAGAACCCCACGCTTTGGCCACTAGACGCCACGCCTCAAAGCCATCCAGAAGCCACACACCTGCCCTGCGAGCCCCAGTTTTCCAGCTTGAGACCCATTCTTTTTCAAATGCCCCATCTCTGCTCCCTTGATTGACACAGTTTAGCTTTATTGATAGAAATGATTTACTCATTTCTGTTCTGCCAAAGGAAAAATATTCAAAGTTGTTTTCTCTACTATAATTTCTTTAAATGTATTACCTAAACATTTAACATGAGAAGATTAGATCTAAAAATATCCTATTTTCAGAGCGCCTGGATGTCTCAGTGGTTGAGCATCTGCCTTTGGCTCAGGGTGTGATTCTGGGGTCCTGGGATTGAGTCCCATGTTCGGGCTCCCCACAGGGGGCCTGCTTCCCCCTTTCCCTCAGCCTGCCACCCCCCGATTCATGCTCTCTCTGTGTCAAATAAATAAATTTTTAAAAAATGTATCCCATTTTCAACCATGCCGGATATGGTTTGTAACACGTCTGCCCACCAGTAGCCGGCTACCACCCCTTTCTGGTGTCATTGCTGCCCTTGGCTCTGGCCCCGTCTGGTTGGGAAATGTCCAGACTGTGAAGCTTACCTGTCTTAAATTAATAGAAGATGGCACTTCTTTTTAATGTAGTAAGTGGACTTAACTTGGTCATGGCCTGTCCCTGTCTCATCTGGGACAGTGGGAAATGTCGGTGGGAAGCAAGCCTGAATGAGAACATCCCCAGTCTTCATTCATTCTCCTCAGAGTAAGACTGAGACAAGCCCTCTTGTCTGTGGCTAATGGGTCAGTATTTCCGATGGCACTAGTGGTGCCCCATTGGACACTGCAGAAGCTACAGAAACTCAGGAGCCCACGGCCTGGAATGTTCAGAGCCAGGCCAGGGTGAGGTCATCACCGATCCACCTCCAAGTGGACACAGCAGCACAAGGCAGACCCGTTAGTACCCCATGCCAAAGCTTCCTTTCTTGGGAAGACTATCCTTTCTCAGGTTATGTCTTACCCTTGAGACATGACTGGTGATCACACACCTTTTATGATAGTAGACATTGATTGATACCAGAAAACGAAGTTGCAATCCTAAAACCTAAAGCCTTTTCAAACATTTTTCTCAGAAAGTCACAATACCAAAGAGCCAAGGAAGCAATGGCTAAGAAGACATTTGGGGGGCAGAACACAGAGGGCTTGGTGGAGAACACATCCCTCTCGCAGTGCGATTCTGAGCTTCGCACAGCTGGCACCCACATACCTGCTGGCACATGTGGCCAATGGCTATGGCCCCCTGGGGTCCTGGACAACAACAGAAAGTGGGAAGACGTGTCCGGCCTACATTCACCCAGAGAGTTTATCAGGCATCTTGGGTCTAGTGTCTCCAGTATGAAACAATAGAGATTCTAGCAAGACTGACATGAGAAACACCCAGCCTTTCCCCCATCTTACAGTCCTCCCCCAGCACCAGCATCTTCCCCCCCCCCCCATCATAACAACAACCTCTCCATGGAACAGTCAGGATGAAGGAGCATGATCACACCCACTGCCTCTTTGACGTAGGGAAAACAGTAACACCTAAATTACTTCTCTCTGGATATGTAAGAGCCTTGAGGCCTTAGTCCATCTACCCAGGAGCTGTGTATGGCCCACAGGTGACAACTTCCTGTTGGCCCTCAGTTCCCTCACCTGTAAAATGTAAGCATCAAGCTAGGTCTGTGGTTTTCAATTAAAAAGAAGAACAAGCCTCTTAATTTTTTTTTTTTTTGTATGTTGACCACTCATATGTACAATAGATGAAGCAGAGATGCTGTGATTAATCTGAGGACCCCCTGAGCCTCTTTTCCCCATCACGTTCACATGGACCTCCATGGACCCCTCGGGTTGTAGGGAACAAAGTTCGAGAACCTCGGGGCCCTTCCAGCTTTGACCTTCACTAATAGTCTACCCAAACCCTTCCCTGTGGCTCTTTATGTCAAAGAGGTTGATTAGCAGTTAGAGGACAACCATGGAGGTATCAACTGCTTCAAGAAGGGATGATGAGGGACGAGCATTCGAACAAGATGAAGCTGGGAGGAAAGAATTAAG